CTTATGTACGTATGAACAGCTGGAAATTGCCTTGTGAGAGCAGTGGAATTGCGAGGGAAATAGTTCATTGGAGGCCAAGAGAAGCGCCGACGCTGCAATTATCGATGGCTTGAACTCTAAAAGCTTTATAGTTGTTTGAGCTTTGAAGATGATCTCAACAGCTCGTGCATCGAGAGCTAGCGGTTCCTATTCTCTGGTACTCTCAATTATGGGTTATTGTAGAGAGCCAGTGGTTCCTATTCTCTTGTCTACTGTGTAGATGCAGACTACGCAGCTTCGGTAGAGGACCGTCCCTCGACATCAGGGTACTGCATTTACTTGGGCGATAATCCTATAACTTGGTGCTCTAAGAAACATTCGGTGGTGTCTAGATCGACTTCAGGGGCTCAATACAAGTCTCGCAAACTCAATTTCAGAGCTGATATGGGTTGAACAATTATTGATTGAAATTGGTGATAGTGTGGAAGAAAAATCGGTTGTATGGTGTGATAACATCTCAACGGTTTCTATGGCTGCCAACCCTACTCAGCATGCATGAATTAAGGATGTTGAGATTGATATGCATTTTGTTCAAGAGAGAGTACTTGCTGGTCAGGTAGTCGTTAATTTTCTGCCTTCTGCAGCACATATAGCCAATGTTCTTACCAAGCCTATGTCCCTATGCCTTTTTGCATCCCTACAACCAAGCTTGGAGTTGTTGCTATTGATGAAGGACTTCAAGAACAGAAAAAGAACACCAGAAAAAATCATAGAGTATTATGATGATTATCATTGGTGTATAGCTTAGCTGATTAGTTTGTTAACTAATAGTTGGTCAGAATTGATTAGTCCATCCGGTTAGTCTAAGACTATATATATGCAATGTATTGGGTCTTTGCTCATTAAGCAATAATACAGAATTATATTCTTTCTCAGCCAAAATCCCTAGAGCGCTGCAATATTCTTTAAGCGTATCTGTCGTTCATATTTTTAACATTGCTGTGATGTAGATTATTTGAGCTGCATACCCATGGTGCCAGCAATTGGAAAAAAAATTGAAATACAATTTTATGCCCTACACTTGCATCAAGTCGTGGAGCAAATCAGCATAGTCATCATAGTACATGTCGTCAAAAGGTAATGGCAGCTGAAATCCACCCTTTTCCAAGGATGACGTATTACCACCGTCTTGGTTGTAGTCGTAGATATTGTCTACAACGAAGGGCTCACTCCAGAAATCTCCACTGCTTTGAACTTCATATATTTCCGAAGAAGGAAGAAAATAAGTGTCTTCTATACCCCTAATAACATTTAATCCAGACATAGATCCTCTTTTTTTCTGTTTTTTTTATCTGTTCGAACCCTTTAATTTATGCTTGGTCTCTTCACCGAATCTTCATGTCTGTATCTGCATTTTCTTTGTTTTTGGTAAGATACTGACTAGTTTAGGTAAGAGTTGTTGGATTTGCTTTTGACTTTGGTTTGTGTTTGTCTCTCCATCACTGTTGATTTGGACTCTGATCGGTGATGGCTCGGGGCTCAGCGATCGGCTCAAACGGTGGCCGGAGATTATTAGCGCGCAGTAGTGGCTGATGAAATTATGGTAACAAACCCTAAATAGGTTTGGATCTGGCATGGGGCTCCAACCGGGTTGAGTGCTTTGGGCTTGTAATTGGGCTCTGAGTATGGCTTGAATTGGGCCCTGAATTAGCTTGTATTGGGCCTGTAAAAGTTATAAACAAGATTAATAATAATAATTAATAATAATAATTTTTAAATGCTCGGACAAAAACGGGTGTCTACAATTGTATTTATTTAAGAGTAAATAAAAAAATCAGGGTCTCGTGGATCTCCGGCTCAACTTATTGCACAACTCAAATGAAGCCCCAAAAACGAGTTCCGACTAATATACAAAGAGAAGGTAATAAATCCAGTATTGGGTTTATCTTATGCACACAACAAAGAAGAAAGACGCACTATAACAAAACTGTACATTTGTGTCATTTTTTTACCTATAGCGGCATTTTAAGCGCCGTTAAAGTTCGCGGCGTTTGGTAACAAAAAACGTTGCAATAGGTAACGATATATAGCGGCGATTGTTGAGGTTTAGCGGCATTTTCCCCACAAACGCCACTATATACCATATATTTTGCGGTGTTTGTATCCTAAAAACGCCGCTATAAACCATACCTTTAGCTGCGTTTTTCCACAAACGCCGTAAATGCGTATGTATATAACGGCGTTTTCTTAAACGCCTCAAAAGGTTAAGATATTTCGCGACGTTTTTTGGATACAAACGCTGCTAAAGCTCTAATATATAGCGACGTTTTTAGGATACAAACTCCGCACAATGTATGGTATATAGCGGCGTTTTTTTACAAACGCCGCTAAAGAACACAGAATTTAAACAATTTAAATATTTTCTTCGATTATCCCAAATCTATTTTTTTTCAACCTGTTCCATTATCCAACAAACATGACATCAATAACATCAAACTCTATATCCATAACAAGCAACATCAAATCCAATATAATAAATAAAAGTTTTCATTAACGTAATATCAGTTCAGTTAAACACGGTTCAGTAACATTAACATATTGTTGATAACATAAATGATACTATGATGGTGGATTCTGAGGTTGCGTTTTTTGTAACATCTGCATCATAGCATCGAGTCGTTTTTCAAATTCTTCACATCTCTGTTGATATGTTGTTTCTTTCTGTGTTGCTGCTGCTTCTCTCTGTGCTACCGCTGCTTCTCTCTGTGCTTCTGCTGCTGCTCTCTCTGTTTCCCTTGCTTCATTTTCGGCTTCCATGTTAGCCATTTGTTGATCCATCTCAGCCAACTTTTATTTTAAATGACAAACTTCTAATTGGGAGATTGAGACTGTGATGATGTACTGTGATGAATTGGTTCCAAAATATTTGGTGGGAGTAACGAATGATCCTTGACAGCGCACCCTACTCGACAAACTTACGTAGCATACATTAGTTAATCACGATAATTAACCAAAGCATTAGAAGAAGCCAATTCAATCGAATCTAATTACCTTAATCCAAGAACAAGCATTAGAAGAAGCCAATTCAATCGAGAAATCACCAAAACAACCCTAAGAGCAAAAGAAAAACACGATTCTTTCGACGGAACAATGCAGATTCGATAGAAATTTTAAACATACACATAGAAGGATCCATTGACATGATCAATCACACAAAAAATCCTAAAAGGAATTATTGAAATAAAAAAATTGAAAAAGACAGAATGAAAAGGCAGAAATGAAAGAGGGGAATGAAAAGAATGGAGATACATGTTGTGAAGTTGGCAACACTAGAGCACCTCAGGAAGAAACAGAGAAATACAACAAGTACACAATTTCAAGGAATAAACAGGTAAGGTAAAGACAACTAGAACATTGTGTCAAGGAAAAAAACACTAATTGCAGTAGAATGTTGCGATAAGCTTGGATTATATAGAACTTCATAAGCAAGAAGGCTTTGAATGAAAGATAAAATGTTATATTTTGATAACACTTTCTAAGTTCCAACCGTGTGAACTAAAATTGCATGAAGAAGTTGTGGGATCTGCTAGCAAGGCAATTCCAACATAGTCACTAACCTAAAGCTACAGCAATATGGCATAAATGGTACATCTTTTCATGATAAATATCAACTAAAAAGAGAGCAGCATAACACTTCACATGTCAAAACAACAACTTAAAATGAAAGGATAACAATATTTAAACAAGGAACAAAAAAATGATAACATAACAGCAGTAGTGCAGTACCACAGTTTGAGGGCAATGACAACTAAAGTATATTTATTCTAAGGAAATAAACCAAATGAGAGGGAAAGAATAAAAGAGGCAATGGAAGAGAAACTGATTATTGAATTTAGGAGATTACAATAGTTTAAATAAACCCACATGATGACTTTTAATAGGACTTTTCTGTTAAAGATAAAATTCTATCTAGAAATATAGATTACAAAGACTCCTATGACTTATTTTTTCTTATCATAAAAGACTCCTAAACAAAAAAAGACTTGTACATTGTTGATTCTAACAAAATTCACAAATGAAACACACACCGATATCTAAAGAAGGGAGTTTCTCAAATATGCCATGGGGAATGAAGATAGGAACATAACAGAAGAAAACCTGCAGGTCGCTAAAGAAAAGTGCATTTGCAAATTCTGCTAGATTTCATCAGCAATATGAGAAGGAAAAAAGTCAAATAGGTAATCATTGGGTTAAGGATTCTATAAATTAAAGTTGGATTAGCAAGACATGTAAGCGTAAACCGTGCTCAATGATATGATAAAGGTTTGGCTAGCAATAGTTAATGAAGCACCGGTTATACAAAATTTCCAGTACAAAAAGAGTAAAACATAATATCTTTTCAAACCAATTAAATGCTCACCTCACATACTCATGGCCCCATGAACCAATGTCGCCTTATGAACCCTGTAACACCCATAACCCGTATAATTATACCTATACAGATTATAGATGTTATACGTATTTGTAAAACCATTTTTTTCAACATACATTTAAATTTTTTTCTTTAAAATGATGATTGATATTATAAAAATATCATTCCATATAATTTATAATTTATTATAACAAATTTAATTCAAAAGATTTTTATATTATGAACAGTACCCGTGAACAGTGTCGATGAATAGTAGGGGAATCGGATTCCCGGTTGGGGGAATCGGTACCCAAAAACTATTTTGATATGTTTTCTTACTTACAACAATGAATTATTGGCCATGCTGCAATTGTTTTCCGCTCAGGACATGCACTTATTTGGCTTAGTAGTATTTGAAGTCTCTATCTAAGTTTCATTTCTTGTTTTTAAAAATATGAAGCTGAGCTAAGTTTATACTCTTAAAGTAAAATAATAATAATAAAATAGCCCTTCCTTCGAATAAATTTGTAAAGTTGCAATTCTTGATTGACACTACAGTAGGCAACATGCATCTGCTAGAAATCTCTATATCATGGATAATCTCCATCAAATTTGAGAGCTGTTGAGTTTTTATCTAACTTGCTTTCTAAATTACAGGGAAAGAAGAATCCTGGTACTGATCGTAATTCTGTACTGTCATTCTTGGAACAAGTAATGAAAGCGAAGGAAATGAAAATAGACAAGTAATTTTGTTGTCATGAGAATGATTCCTCTCTCTCTTGTTCTCCATCTTTCACGCACACACGTGCTTGAGGTGATGTTAAACTTGTAAACTGAAGAACTCTGTGATTTGGCATGGTGCTGATGTAGCCAAATCGTGTTTTGAACATCCTTTTTTCTTTGAATAGATGTTTTGAATATCCAATTTCAGTAAATTGGTACTTTGCCTACCTTTAGAGATGCAATATACTCCACCTCTAGTATCGTCTAAATGTTCACAAGCAGAAAACACCAATCAATCCTGTGGCCTTGTATTAATGTGCTAGGAAGTAGGCAGTGGGAAAGAATAATCATCTATTAATTGCCAACTCTTCGGGTGTAACTTCTAAATGAAGTTCTGGGAAAATTACATGATAAAATTTTTTTATGGAAAAAAAATTCTAGGACAATTATAAGGTATAAAAACAGTCATTCCTGTTTAACTACATTGTCAAGAGAACCTTTCTTTCCCCATCTTTTGATTCCTTTCGCCATTATCTCTACAATCTGTTTTACGGAGGCCAAAATTTTGAGAAGCATTTTGCATCCCTTGCTCCTTAACTATCCGAGCCAAATTTATAGCTACATAACTGATTTATCTATAAACATTCTCCTTCCTACATTGAATTTGTTTTTCAGTTAAGTTACAGGGTTGACTAACATAAGGAACTTCAGAATACTTACCGCTATATGCATTTTTGTGGTTCAGTTGGCATATTCTCATGAGGATGAGAGCTCCGAAGGAAGGTTCATGTGATCCTATTGCACCTCTGGAACTACCACACTCTTTACATGCATTTCATCGTGTCTCATCAACAGATGAACTGAATGTGGTGAGACATTCTACTGTTACCTCCTTTGTCTTATGGTAATATCTTTCCCTTAATCTATGTTTTTATGAGATCAAGAATGTGTACATTTTTTAAATTATCTTTCCTAAATTACAGAGAAAACTTTATATACCTTTTCCTGATTTCAAATGCTTTTTTTAAGTTCTTTCTGATTATACCATTGAATATTTTAGCACATAACTTTCCCTCGCACCTTGGATTTCAAATCCAGTTTTCTATCTAATTATTAAGTATTATGAAAGAAATGCAATATGTGTAAAGAAAAAAAACATATTTTGTATTGTATTGCATTGCATCCTTACACAGAAAGTTTGTGCTCCTCAGGAAGGTTGCCATACATTTCGTGGAGGATTCTGGAATTACTTCAGCATGGGTAAGAGTACTTCCTTGGTTAAGTATTCTAGCTGTTAATGTTGTAAAAATAAAGATTTCATAATCTTCTTTTTTACAGTGTTTTAGTTGTACATCTGTTTCCATAATGATACTTAATGTATAATTGGTTTTCTGCTATCATCAATTAACTTCTCTTTCCATTCCTTTTACTTTCTGTTGCCTAATGGAATTTGAACAATCCAGTAAACAATATATGATACTGTTAAAGATAAGATTGAACAAAAACTTTTCCAAATTTAAGGTTTCCTTAAACCTTTTGTTTTATTTGCAAAGTTTGTCTGTACATATGTTTCTTGAACTTGGATTTGAGTGTCAGAAACGGATATGTTTCCTACACAGGTTTGATCAATATTTTTTTTCTAAAGTTTATTTTACTTAGGATCATATCCCGTACCCATGTTTCTATATGCATCGGACTTGGTTGTTGTACATAGGTATTTAAGTAGAACATAACAAAAAGAGCAACATAGGCATGTACTATCATACAGTCTCCTTTCTTTCCCATTTTTGCATCCAACATAAAGAACAGATTTGTTTATTCTCACCTTCTAGTTTTCTGGTGCACCCATCTTTGTTTTAACATGACAATTTGAATATTGGTTAACCTTATCTATAGCGTTATAATGTTGTCTACAGGAATGGATGCTCAAGTATCTTATGCTTTTCATTCCGAGCGAAAGTTGCACCCTGAAAAATTTAAAAACCAGTTGGTTAATCAGGTGTAGTTCTCTCATAATGTCATCTTCTTTGCTTGATTGATGCAAGGGCACTTGCAGCCAAATCATTGGGGTTTTCCTTAAGCATGTTACATGATTTACTGCTAGCAGATGTTATCATGATAGACTTATTCTCTTTCACAATGTTTTTCATCTGTCTTTGTTGGTAATTTAATACAGATTTATCTTGTCTAATGGCATGCACTTTTTTATGAAATTTAGAAATGTTTGTATTTTTGTGTTCCTTTGTATATATGTATATCTTACCTGGATCTTGCTTGTCTTTGATACTGGTTCTTCCTTGAAAATATGTTCCAGTTACTGAATTTTTCATGTTCCCCTACCTTATTTCTAACAGAGCAATTATGCAAAGCTTGGCTGTACCCAAGGGTGGTTTGCTGCTTCTATTTTTCATCCTGCTTCAAAGTGGTTGGTTGCCTTTTTATCTTTATGTGTGATAGTTAAAATTTTCTATTCAAATCAAAGATTAGGCTAACATTCAGGTTTCGTGGATTTTCATTTCATTGAAGATTGGCTATTTTTCTCTAATGAATTTCTTGATAATGGAAAATAAAACATAAATTCAAAAGAAAAACCAGGAAGGTGGAAGAATTGATAATAAAATTCTTATATGTTCCATATTTTACTACCAAGGTAAAATTGCATTTTAGCCTTTCATTTTGAAATAAATTATTACCATATGTATCCAGAAAATGTCCTAGTCTTCTAGGTACTAATAGTTGGCTGGATACTATGGAACATCTCTGGCCGGATAACTCCTCCTCCTTTCTTAGGAAATTGAAAATTTTATATGATCTTAAACTTCAGGAATGTTGCCCAGCTTGCAAAGGTGAAAATCATGAAGAAACATGGTCAATGGCAAGATCTCCACATACCACAGAGGTAACTTCCGGTTGGTCTAGAGCTATTCATATTTGTCATATGTGAAAGAAAACAATCTGTTCATACCAAAAATCTTGATTATGACATAATGTAGGAGAAAAGTATAGCGATAAGGTTCACATCAGGTGTGAAAACATTGATCACAACTCATAAGAAGCATTTGCTGATAAGATATATAGCTCATGATTCAGTTGTAACTTGTAGGAATCATTTTTCTGCCTAAATGGTAATTTTCATTTTATATATTACAATAATTAAAGCCAATATTGACTTAAAAGTTCAAAATCTGCATTTTGGTTCGATCATCGAGAAGTGACGGTTAGAACCTGCCAAATCTCTAGAAGTTGGGTTACTGATTCTTATATCTTTTACATTAGCATTTAGTTATTAATGTTTCCATGTTAGAAATTCATTAATAAATAGTATAAGCGAATAAGTGTAAAAGAGATTAATGAACCTAAATGAAAGAACGGAAAATACCCATTAGTTCTCTGGTGTAAAGAGAAAAGTGGTAATTCCCTATTCATGACAAATTTTTCTTAGACAGATATATATGCAAAAGTTGGCCATGCTATATCATAAAACTTCTTAAGTTCCAAACCCGTATCTTTTTGAAAGCTTCAACAACATTTTCAACGCATAATGTGGTTCTCATGGCTTTTGGGCAACAAAGATGTCTTTTTCATCCATCTTCTCTAGTTTTATGCCCTATTTTTGTTAATTAGATGATTCATGCTTTGCATGTAGCAATGAAAACATCCATGGAGAGCTTTCTGTTAAGTAAAACCATGATCTAGTGTTTGTTTTCAGCTTTTCTGCTTAATTTCCAATTACGGCTTTCCCGTACTTACCCAAGAATGCTTCTAATATCTTTCCCTTCTGTCCCCGGACCCCTCCCAATTTAAACAGCATAAGGTCGATCATATGCCTCAACTTGCCCAGCTTTTCTGGTGGTCTAAATCCTTGGGGAACACCAAGTGGCAGAAAAAAGAACGAGGTTAGTTCCCATTATTTACGATTTATTATATCTGACATTTGTTTTGTATGAATCTGATGTATATTTTTTTTGTTCTCAACCAACTTTACAGAGAGACTTGACTGCACCTTATGTAGATGATGGCCTTCTTGAAGTTGTTGGTTTCAGAGATGCATGGCATGGGCTCGTATTGCTGGCTCCAAAGGGACATGGAACTCGCCTAGCACAGGTGATATTTAAAGAAAGCAGGCATAATTCAGTAGTGAAGCCACTTGATCTTTGACATCTTAGTTCATTTTTCTTAATTTTATGGGGGAATTTCTCAAATGAATGATCTAAATATTGTAAACACCTATGCCAGCATGCAAGCATAGACGCATTTTTTTATCAACATTAACCACTTTAGGTGTTCAATTCAGTAAACTACTTGTTTGGCAACATATGTTTTGTTTTTGTTGTGGAAATTAGGCACACCGAATCCGCTTTGAGTTTCACAAAGGTGCCGCTGAGCACACATACATGAGGATTGATGGGGAGCCATGGAAACAACCACTACCAAAAGATGACGATACAGTTGTAGTTGAGATTTCCCACCTGGGACAAGTGAACATGCTCGCCACTCAAAATTGCCGATCGAAAAGCATAAATGATGTTACATCCTCATCAACTCATCATAACGATGAAGACGACGACGACAATAGTGATGAAGAAGACTCCAGATCTGGGGGAGACGAGTTCAGGAAATTTGGTGCGGCAGACACATTCAGAATCCCAGACGAGCTTGATATTTCTCAACTTAGTTAAACATATAATAATTCATTACTTATTCTGTTTAATAATGTTCGGATTAATTTATGTTTAAAAATCTTTAGAATCACTCTTGAAACATTTAAAACCCTAAAAAGCTTGAAGCAAATGAATGAGGATTTCATGTAATAATAGAATATACAAATGGTTTAAAGTTGATCCTACTAACATTTACAGAATCATTCAGGTTATCTTTAAGAAATCAATTGAATATATACAAATGGGGTTTTTTTTATAGATTAGCTGGTAAGTTTTTGGTTTAACAAAAACTAAATTGCAAGTTGCACCCCCGGTGTTATGTGTCAGTCTTATCCTCTGAGTCTGAATGATGAACGTGTCCAGGGTGTTCATCAACTCACATTCACATATGCACGTATGTCTTCTGCCTCCAATCTGCAACATTCTAAAGATATTTTTTTCCTTATGTACTTTAATAGTAAAGTAGAACCCTAGACAAAATAAGGGAGAAATGAAAAATGTAGATATTGCCAATCTGCCATTTTTTTTATTATAAAAAAAGTAGGTAAAGTATAAAAATGATGTTTTATTGAGTTTCAAAATTATTAAAAGTTATAAGATTATCTCACAACTATAAGTAACTATTTTGTTGAGTTCCCGATTAATAAAAACAATAAAATGATCACTTAACTATTCATATATTTCAAACTAGTATTTTTTCCGTTAAAAAATTGACGGTTGTCTGAACTGTACGTTAACCTATTGAGATATGATAAAATCATATTTTAATGATGTCTACTAGCATCGTCGTTACTTTCAAGCACTGACTTGATAACATAATATTTTAATCACTAATTTGACGATGTTATACAAATAGAGACTCAATCCACAAAATATAGCTCAATAGTTATGAGATTAAATTTTATCATATCCCAATCAACATTTTAACGTCATGCTCAGACGATTGTCAAATTTTTAACGGAAAAGAACGACTTTGGATCAATTGAATAGTTGAGTGATTATTTTGTAAATTTTATAGTAGGATAACTCAACAAAGCATAACCTTATAATTGAGAGATTATTTTATAACTTTTAATAGTTTAAGGACTTAACAAAGTCACACCCTATAGTGGAGGGACTATTTGTGCATTTTTACCCAAAAAAAAGTGGGAAACCTGTTAAAAGAAAAATATAACAAAGAGTGTTTCAGAAAAGATTGAGATGTATATCGGGATTGATTTTTAGTCATTTCAACCTTTCTAAGCCACTAACATGCATTAGTACCTAAGATTACCTGGCAGTGTTGCATTTGCTACCCACTGCATTTGTCTGTAACAGTTGAGATACTAAGGTTAAAAAAACTACAGGTTAGAGGCCATTAATAACCTATAAATTGCAGCAAAATACAAACCCAATTGATGCTTTTGTTGGGTAAACCCATTGGTAGAAAAAGATTATGAAAATCAACTCTACAGGCTACATATATTTGTTTCCCCTAAAAACCTGGAACTACCATTTTAAAAACTGATATTTGTACCTAGGTTGTCATTATATAAACAAGATTTTCCAGGCTTTACCGTTCCAGGCCAATCTCTTGTAATTTTCTCCGGAAATCCCTTTCTTTCTTCTCTCTCTCCGGATCACACACAATAGAGAAGGCAGAGATGAGCTCGAGGAACACAAGCACCCAAGGCCAAGTTCCGAAGACCGAGTCGGGTATGGAATCTTGTTCAAAGCAAGTTAGAGGCATTTCAGGGTCCTTTAACCCAATGAATAGTGATAAATCTGGTAAAATTAGTAATGACAGCAAGCTTAAACAGGCTGAAGAGTCCCTCCGGACTGTGATGTACTTGAGCTGCTGGGGTCCCAACTCCTAAAAAATGTCAACAAAAGCTGATCCAAAGATTCCCAGCCTTTTACTTTTGAGTGCTTTCACTTGTTCTAGAGCTGTCTAAGAGTCGACACAGTATGCATATAGAAGGTATAGTATCTTTCTTCTCTTTAATTTGTACATTAAAGTTGGCTGTAGTGTATCGTTAGGTTTTCTGGCTCTCTTGTACAAATAAATTAATAATAGTATGTATTAATCTTAAGTAGTTTTTGATAAATTGTTGATGACTGCAAAAACCTTGAAATGTTGTTACTAAATCAACAAATGAACAAGAAATAAGTCAGCAGCGAAGAGAGTTTATTGAAATTAAATAATGCTGGTTGCCGCACATGGAAAAGATACCGTAAAGCATGGTTGTTGCTTTGGGCCATAATTGGAAGCAGGGCTAGTCTATATATATATATATATATATATATATATATATATATATATATATATATATATTTAAGAACACTAAAACTAACGACCTCTTAAATATGAAACCGAACAAAATATGAATAAATATTACTTTATAACTATTTTAGAATGGGTTCGAACAGTTACGTGATGTGCATATCATGTGCGTTGTCAATAACTAAGAAAAAATATAATAAATATGAACCCTCTTATCTAAATAAATTCTGCAAGGGCTTAGTTTAATTCTGAGATTCATCATATCCAGTAACCTCTTAAAAGCATACCCTCTAAGCCTACCTTGAAGCTCACGGGCTTTAGATTAAGAACCAAATTCAGCCTCAACTTTTTTTTGATTTCGATAATTTGATAAATTTTGCTTGATTTTTTTTATCTTATAAGAAGAGAAAATTTTGTTATATTAAATTTTATATATATATTAAATTGTTCAACGAATGATTAGATTAGAGAGATGAATAATTTGTGTACGGATCCAATATTGTTTATCTAGTGTATTTTAAATTTGAACAATCTGTAATACTGATTCAGTCAGAGTTTTATAATAAATATATAATATAGTGCTATTTTAATATTTTTAATTAAATTGACGTCTGATTAGTTTATGATACTAAATATTTTATAATTAGTATATATATCTTACTCTTATGATTTTATTTATAACTTATTTTTAGAAATAGCAAAGTTGAATGATAAATGAATTGAGGACGGATATAAGATCTTACATCAGGGGACAATTTTTTTAAAATAGATAAATTTTTAAAATTTGAATGGGCGCAATTAAATTATTAATAAAAAATATTTAAAATATATGAAAATTTAAAACTTTTAAGAAAATAATTGCCCTCACCCATCTTCGTCAACAGATCCCTAGTATAGCTCCAAAGATAGGCAAAAGTAGTTATGAGAGAAAGATTATTTATTTTTAAAAAAAATGTTGTAAGCTAATTGCGTGAAATGTTAATTTCAAAAATATATAATATTTGATGTTCAAATTCTTATTTTCATAAGTTAAGAGTTAAACTTTGATAGTAATCGTTAAAAAGAAAAAAGTTAAACCCTGATAGTATCCATACATAATACTTAAATTAAGGGGGGAAAGATCATTTTGAGGATACACGTGAAGTATATGAGGAAAAAAAATATTTACCGAAAGAAATAGTAAAAAAAAAACGAGAGTAGTAAGTAACGTTTGTAATCTTAAGAGAATAGAATAATTAAAATAAATATTAATGAGAATTTAAATGAGACCAAAACCATGTTAGTATAAATGTGGATATTCATTTCTTCCGTTCATATAAATAAAAAATGATATTTATTTAAAAATTATTTTAAAATAAATAAATTTTATTAACCGAAACTACAAATTACTAGTGTACATTTAATGATTTCTCTAAAACATTAGTCATAGCAACTTTAATTCCGTAGGTGTTGTTGGGGGAATCATTGGACTGTCAAAGCAGATTTGATATTGGGAAGCAAAAAAGGAAAGATGTTTTGCTTTTTCTATTATTATTATTATTATTACTTATTTGATTATAAAAGAGGGAATATATGTGGATTTACGGGTCTGTTTGTTTCTCGTAATTGGAATTACGGAATTAATTTTCCCCGAATTTCTGTGTTTATTTCACGTAATTTGTTTCACGTAATTACAGTTAAACAAACAGACCCTACGTGTTGTTATTTAAATGCTCCAGCCTCCAAATACATTTCATTCAAAACGGCGCACTTCATCATCTCTTCTCATGCCTTATGCCTCAAACAAATAAAAATAGTCAAATCAAAAGTGTAAACTACTTATTTAGTCATTAAAATATTTTCACAGTTTTATTTTGATCATCTAACTATTTTTTACATTTAAAATCATACCTAACATCACCTTTTGATCACTTTTTCGTAAAAAATTAACAGTAATATCAATGTGTCCCATAATATAATGACACATCAGTAATCGTGATTAGAATATAATTTTAGGTATGATTTTGAAAAGGTTTATATCACAAATAAATATTTAAAGTATTCTATCTTTTTTATTTAAGTATTTAAAGTATTCAATCTTTTTCATCTAAGTTCTAAAAAGTTGACACGTGACATTAATTAAAGAATATTTTAGGTACTTAGATTAAAAAAAATTGAATACTATAGGTACCTATTTTGATCAAAAAATACTTTAAATACTTATTTTGACAAAATAAGATAACTTTAGGCATTTATTTTGATAAAATAACACTTTAGGTACTTATATGAAGAAAATGATATACTTTAGGTGTTTATTTATAATATAAGCCTTTTGAAAAAAATAATTAAGTGACCAAAAAGTAAAGGCGAGAATAGATGCTGACTAAATACTTAGTTTAGCCAAACCAAAAATACGTTGTAAGCGTATGTTAAGTAGCTTTCAACAACAGTGACACTGACAACTCAAAGCACACCCCCATAACTGATATAAAAACATAGTTTAGTATTAATTCGTATCCAACCTTTTCCATTTACGAACAAAATCCCACCCTTGTTTTCTACTTTTTATTTGCTTTCCATCCATCTACTGAACTCCACAAACACAGACAGATCCAAGGGTTGAAGGTGAAGAGCAAGTTTGGAGTCTTTGCAGAATGCCGTTTTGGCAGACGAATAGTAGCAATGGCAATGGCAATGGCTCTTCTTCTTCTTCTTCTTCATCGTCAATGGGCAACAACAATGTTTATCAGCAGCAGAGCCAAAGTAGTCAGCTCGGTGAAAGATCAACTGTGACTTCTACAAATTCTCTTTTTTCTATGGCGAGATCTTTGCTTCCTACTCGAAGGAGACTTAGGCTTGATCCTCCCAACAAGTTATATTTTCCTTGTAAGAATCTGCTGCTGTTTTCTTACCTTTAACTGGGATTTGTTTTCTATTTCCCTTTTTGGCTCTTGGGATTTGGTTTTCATCGCATGATTTTGTCAGTTTCTGGAATTGAAAGGGGTCCTCTTATTGTAAATCAGTTCCTTCTTTGCTTGAGTATCTTGAACTATAGATTGTCCTATACTGGTTGATTTGTTGATTGCTTTCTTTACTTTGTCTGATTTATCTGTTTGAGTTTGAGAAGATCTAAAATGCTAATGGTATAATGACACAATTACGCTTAATGTTTGTATAAATGGTCACTTTATCTTTATTTTTCTGTTTTGAGTATTTTGATCCCAATATTTTAATTTTTTTTATCAAAACGGTCTTTATTGGACGGAAACCATTAGTTGAATAATAATCATCATATGTTGCCGCCGTGACATTTCCGCTTGTGTTCGGGCTGTTTCGATCTAAAAATAAAACGGTGGGATGAAAATGCTTAAAAAAAAGAATAGCAGACAAAATGACCATTTGTGGGGACGTTGGGGGTAATTTTGTTATTATGCCAATGGTTATCGCTAATCGAGGAAGGTTTTTTTTCAATTGCTAAAAGTAAGATTCTTTCTTACCTTGAATTGCATTTTGAGTAAATAAGTGATTTGCTAATTGCTAGTAAGTTATTTCCTGACCGTTTGTAGAAATGGTCAATTGTTGTTTCGAGTAACTGATACTCTGATAGATTTTATCAAAACTTGATGATAATAATAATACTATTGTTCCCTCTTCAATATTGCTGCAATTGAGGTTTCAGTTGTCTCGTCATTTATCATCTTGCTGTGTTCTTGAGACTTGCTTGTTAAATGGTTTTGATTATATAGTTTGTGTGCTTCATCGGAACCTTTTACCTTTCGCCGTTTATCGTTCATGTAGTGTTCTTGACGATGAGCTTGTGCTATTTTTGTAGATGAACCAGGTAAACAGGTCAGGAGTGCCATTGACATTAAGAACACCAGCAAGTCCCATGTAGCTTTCAAGGTGTGGAAGATGTTTTCTTACTCGTTTTTATTCGTTACTCCGTGTTTGATGTTGATGTCCGAGGTGTGGTAAAAACATGTTGCTAGTGATTCTATGTTGGTTAAGACCATCTAACGAGTGACCTTGTGGATCCTACAGTTCCAAACAACTGCACCAAAGAGTTGTTACATGCGACCTCCGGAAGGTATACTTGCTCCCGGTGAAAGTCTTATCGCAACCGGTAATTGATCGACATAATTAACTCCTTGCACTTTCGAGCCTGGAAGAATACTGATGAAAAAGGTTTTAACGAGTTATTTTCCTGACAAGCAGTTTTCAAGTTTGTGGAACCTCCGGAGAACAACGAGAAGCCAATAGAAAAAAAGAGCAGGGTTAAGTTCAAGATTATGAGCTTAAAAGTGAAAGGAGAAACGGATTATGTCCCGGAACTGGTATATTCTGAAGGCTTTGCTGTTTGACCTCAACTTTTGATTTTAGTACGAAGAGCTCGGTTACATACATAGTATATTTACGATATAGATTTTCATGTCGAATAGTACTGCTATGCTACTCAAGTATTGAAAATGTGTCGTATAACAATTTGCACAGTTTGATGAGCAAAAGGATCTGGTTTCAGTTGAGCAGATTCTACTTGTAGTTTTTCTTGACCCAGAACGCACTTGTCCTGTAAGTAATCACAACGTAATATTGGATTACTTGTTTATCTGTATTCTTGCTTGTTCCATTTTTGAATGACCATTGTGTTCCCCCCTCCTTTTCCAAGGCACTGGAGAAACTTAGACGTCAACTGGCCGAGGCCGAGGCTGCACTCGAATCGCGCAAAAAGCCTCAAGAAGACACCGGTCCGCGAATCGTTGGGGAAGGGCTCGTTATAGATGAATGGGTGAGGCATCCAACTTGACGAATTCAACCCGAATTTTTTTCTTCTAAGTTTTGAACATGCAATCCTAATACGGTTTCGGTTTGTAGAAAGAACGAAGGGAAAGATACTTGGCTAAGCAGCATGTTGAAGGTGTTGGTCCTACATAGGTGTGCAATCTTTTCTTCATTCCTCTGGGTTTTGTGATTGTGTTGTTGAGTTATTTTTTTCATTCCATTTAAGCTTGCAGATGAATTCCATTTGGTTGCGGACTGTCCCCAATTTGTTGTAGATATTGTTGAATTTGGCAGGACCGATGTTATATCGTTCTTATGATTTTCCTTTATGCTGTCGCTTCTTCTTCATCCAATCTTCCGATGGTCGATGCTATTTGTCGATCATGTTTGTATTACCTCTTCTCTTCTCTGTTGAAGATTTATGACAACTAACAATACTTATCAAGCGAATCCATCGCAAGTTAAATAAAGATAGATTCGTTGCATCCCTAATAACGACTTTCGTAATTTATCTGGTATAACATATGGATGAACATATGCTATTTGTAGATCATGTATTACCAAAATTATTTGCATATATAATATGTAAACGTAAAAAGATGACACGTCAATAAAACTTCCTTAATCTATAAAAATGGATTAAAACTAAAATTTGATGCATACGACAACAGAAAATCAAAATTATGAAAGTTCGTATATAATTTAAATATTTACCATTTTTAATTTAGGTTAAAAAAGTTTCAAAATCATTCAAGTTCACATATAAATGGTTTCCCATGGTATTCCGAATGTCCGTAAGTCCCATTGTGACGGAGCAAAACCGAAACATGTAGGGGAAATAGGCTGTTATTCCCAAAATCATGAAACGAATTAACAGGATACAAAATTATTTCCCAAAAGAACATGCCAGCCATTACAAAACGGATGAAACACCAACGTCGTTACAGACTGATTCCGTGTCCTCATACTATCATCCATGTCAAATGCCGGTAACCAACCCACTTGGCAGTAAGATTGATTCCGATGGCCAAGGCTGCACCTAATAATGGCATCGGAAGCCGCTTCTCTGTAGCTATATCTTCTGTTTCCTCCTTTACTTCTGAAAGCTTCTTTGAATGGTGAAAGATAGCTAAAGCTAGATACAAAGTAATCACCAGGACCCTAACCCAAGGCTCCCCAATGGCAGCCATTACAGCTGCAACAGGCAGTACCGATGTAACATCGTCGCGCTTTTTAATCAAGCGTGAAAAACTATATAACCCCAACAAAAGAGTCCAGTAGAGTGGCTCAGAAATATAGCCAGTCACGGCTGCATAGCCAATGAGACCGGATATAGTGAGCATATACGGCTGGCAGCTAACCGAGTTGGGAACAGTAGCCTCAGCAATAGCAAGAACTGCCGATGCAAGCACAATAATCACAGTAAGTTCTTTAACAGCGGCATATGCCACGATTCCGGAATAGAAAGCTCTCACGCTATAGATCGCATTCTCGATACACCTGATCATGGAGGTGATTGGATCTCCGATGAAATGGAAAGCAAGGGCAAGAACAAGTTTCAAGAGGTATCCGACAAAACGAACGACACCGAGAGCAGCATTTCTCCAATTAGATAGCTCCAACAAAACAGCTCTCCATGCATAGAGAAGGAATGCCGCGGCTGCACATAGTCCACAGAGAAAGTGGATTAGTTTGCATTATTCTAAAACTTCTGGTAGCAATGTTTAGCTTTAGACTAGCTGGAAATAAACTTAATACGATATTATCAATCATCAGTCAGTTGAAAAATCAAAAGTCTGCTTCAAGAGCCATTAAATTCTATGGGGGATAATGATTAAACAAGAATCAGATACTGATATAAATAATTGGTTTAACATGGGATTTTAACTAATTACATGGTGAATCCATCAAGCAACTTTAATGCCAAAAGAAAATGTTGTTCTCCCTAAAAAAATTTAGTTCGACCGCAGAGTGTGTGAGAAAAAAATGATTCTGAAATACTAATTATAGATACCAAATGTAATTACCCCAAACTATTAAGAAAATTAATTACATAGTTAATGAAGGTATAAAACTTGAAGAAGCTCACCAACAAAGAAAGGCCACCTAACAGGAGGATCAGAAGCTTCTTTGGTCAAGTATCGAAACCTCTCCGGCATCGTACTCTCTCCTCTCGCCAATCTCTCCGCTTCATCAACACCACCGTCTTCTCCTCCATTGCCAGCATTTGCATAAAACTCGGGTTTTCGATTGCGGAAAAGCCCATGCCTTTCACCAGAAAGTGAAAGAAAAATGGGGGCCGGCCTGGGTTTGAAAGCTTGGATTTTTAAGGGAAATGACCGGAGGGTTTGGGGGCGGGATAGGAGGACTGTGTACCGAGAAAATGGAGAAGTTTTGGGAGGGACAAGAGAGAAATTAGAAGCAATTGTGGGGATCGCCATTGAAAGTTTAGGGTTTAGAAAGGTTTCGCCATTTTGGGAACAGAGGTTTTATCCTATATTTTAGCAGGTCTGTTTGGTGAGAGGTTGGGCTACATTCATCTGGATTTTCTTGGGTAATTACTATTTAGGCCCATGAAGGACCAATCCATTCGGTGCAGTTCATCTTCCTAGTCGTATTGTCACTCCCATTTCCTTGGTTAACTGCATCATCAACAGTTCCCTTCTCTCTCCCTCTTCCTAAAAAAAAGTAACTATCAAGATGGCTACTTTGTTGGCGGCTGCAGGTCGCAGAGCTGCTACTCTAGCAAGAACATCGGCTCCGTCTCAAGCTGCCTTTCTCATTCCTCGCCGTGGTCTTGCTGGCGCTGCTGGTATTCTCTCCATTTAACCCGATTTTCGTTTTAACAATTTAAAATTTTAATATTTGCCTTCAATAGATGCAAATTTTGTCAGACTATTTCAATCTCTCTTACCTGATCTTAGAAGTAAAGATCATGTTTTTACCCCCAACATTTCTTAAACTACATTTTGCGCTTTGCAGATCACCATGGACCCCCGAAGGTTAATTGTTGGCAAGACCCACTGAACCCATCGAAATGGAAAGAAGAACACGTGAGCTTGTTTCTTTTCATACTTATATTTCAGTTTTGCCCCTTTTTTTCGTTACCCTAGTTCCTTTTCTTCTAACTTGCAGATTTTTATTTTTCCAAAAAATTATTTTATACACAAAAAAATTATTTTATACACCTAGTTTAAACTCTCCGTGATCACTGCGCATTTCATATATTTGAAGTTAAAATTTTGTTGAGTTTGATCAGCTTTTACATCACAGCATATAATCTGATGCTTTTACCTACCACTGCACTATGTACTAGATAGACACTTTTTTTTTAATCACTGTGATGTAATTTAGTGGGAATTAGATAAGTTGCCAATGTGGACACTGTCTTGACTTCTTTTGTTTTTAATGGTTGTTCAGTTCGTTATCGTCTCGATATCTGGTTGGGGTCTGCTTTTCTTCAGTGGATACAAGTTCTTCACTAAAGGCAAAGGCAAGAAGGAAGAGGTATTTTATACTGAACTCGTGTTGTTATTACATTGGAATCTCTGCGTTTTCATTTCTATTGTCCTGTGAATATAATGGAACTCGAGGAACTACCGAATGTATCTGTGACTACAATGAAAGGAAGACATTGAACGCTCATGTTTTATCCTAACCTCCAATTTTTAATAAGCATCAGTTAATTTGATATCATCCTCTCCAATCTGTTGCATTCCCTGAATTCTGAATCAAAGAGCTTCCTCGATTTGTTGAGAATGCTAAAGCAGATTTTGCTTCTATACCCCGAAGTCCGAATCTAGAAGCCTGAAATCTTTTTCCAAACATATTTGAGATAAGCTCTCTGAATTTTTCTGAGCACAACTGCAATTAAAGTTAATCCTTAGGTCTCTGTTGAGCACAACTAAACTAGCTAGACTAATCCCCAACATGTTTATCAATAAATGATCCCTGGTTTCCATTTCTCATCACAAAATAGCACAATTTGTGTTAGTAACTTGTAAGAGACATCCCATGAGCTAAGTTTGTTCTTATTAGGAAGTCTGTCCAGAATTACCATCCAAATCGCTGATGTTGTGTCTAGTAAGAACGATATAACTCTATACAATCTTATGCGTGATTGCATTCCAACTTCTAGATGTTGGCTGCATGATACCTGGAATATGAGTTGAACCAATTAACTTCATATGCTGCTACTTGGCTTGATTAAAATCTCCTCTCGAGATGACCTTAGGTTAGGTCAATGTTTGTTGTGGCTTTTCTGCTGAGTCAAACATATATCTCAATTTTTTTGGAGATTTTTGTAGTAGATAACTTTCTGATTGACTATATTGTAGAATATTTTACAATTTTAAATAAAGTTTATTTAATGCCAAGTTTTACAAATAGAAGTCTTTTAAGGTCATTCAGTAATGCAAATTCTCAGGTCATGTGTAGTTTTCCATACAATACTGTCTTTTTATTTTGGAGACAGTTAAGTCAATGTCTCCCATCACATTCCACTTGTTGATGGTCTCTGCTGGGATGACCCTGTTTTATTGAGAGCATCTAATAAAAAATTGATAATGGGGTACTTAGCAGTTTATAAACGCATGATGGAATGCCTAAGCATGCTCTCAGATTTACATTATTGTTGTGCATCTATTATAGCTTCTCTGTTCAACATTCGTTTTAACTTTCGTTTTGTGGCAGAACATGGTGGAAACGGCACATTAAAGAGGTTGAAGCTTGTACTTTTTGACAATAATGCATGAATAATGTATGGCTGGAACTTTCATGTCCTTGGGTATAACTTTTCTTTGCTGTTTTCTTTTTCTGTTGGAGAATGGTTACCGAGTAAATTCAGAGTTCAGATTCTTATCAGTGAACATACAGCCTGTTTCATTGGCTTGTCCTGTTGGTAATGGGATGTAACAGTTTTTAAGACCCAAATTCTGTCGATGAATTGGAACAGTTAATGAACTATGCATTTGTGCATGTTATCTTGATTTTAAGCGTGGCAAATAGAAATTAATAGTTATGCTTAATGTTATGTGATATAATAGGTTTGATATTATAAACAGCAGGATCTTGAAGTAATTTGAATACAGTACAGTTGACCAAAGTCCACAAAAGATTGTGTAGAAGTTTAGTTTTAAAAGGCGCAAAGAATACGTGAAGCCCAGGTGCAAGGTGAAGGTGCGCCTCTAAAATAAATATTATCTAAAATAAAGATGATTTTAATTATCATCACTAGCATTAATTAACATCTTTTAAATAAAAAGTATTAATTAACATCTTTTAAATAAAGAAGCTGATTGACATAGCAGACGTAGACCAATTATGTCTCTCCAGCTCAGTTTCAGCAGCACTCAATCTGCTCTTTAATTCCCCTAAATCGGAAAAAACAGTGTTAAAAACAAAGAAGTTGACCGACATAGCATGCTTGGACCAACCATGTTTCTCCCACTCACCTTCTACCAGCACTCTGTAATTCTCCTAAAGCGGCAGAAGCGGTGCGCCTTGCGCCTCTTCAATAAGCGTCAAAAGTGAGCGCCTGGGAAAGCCTTTGGTTCGTCGCTGCACCTATGCCTTTAGAGACGTTTAGTTCTGCGCCTTGCGCTTTAGACGCGTCTAGGTACGTTTTTTAAAACTAAGTGTAGAAGGATATAATTTTCTTTTATATGGCTGATTAGTTTTTGCATTTTAGTGCCAAGCCTGGAAATTAATTTTTTAGGTATATATCTTTTAAAAGGAAAAACAAACAATGAACATTTTAAACATGTTTTGGCAATGTTACTTTAATTTAATATCATATCCAAAACCCACATATTTGGTCATTTAGATTTTTCCCAAGTCTAAGGATGACGTCCTTCATTGCTTAAGGAAAGGACAAGTAATTGCTGGTCTAAGAGCAATACATGCATCTAAAAGCTAGGACATGACACTTGAGAACAATTGTTAACAAAAACCCACGGACCTATGTCCCATATTTTTGTTTATCTTCCGAATACGACCTTAAATCACTGGAAAGGTCACCATTTGCTGCTGTTTGTTTATCTGCAACCTCAATTTCATCTCTGCCAGCACCTTTCTTCATCTGTTGCTTCATGGCCCTGCTGTTGTTGGTTGTTTCTTCAATTTTCTGCTGCTTGGCATCATATGTGTGATCGATGGCTTCTCCAATGACACCGATGTTTTCTGATACTTGTCTTGCCTGACAGTTAAGTTGGTTGCTTGACACTGCGGTTTCGTCCTCAACCACGGTCTCTCTTCTGGCTTTCCTATCTTCAATATCTCCAGGTTCAGAGTTGTGATGCTTCGACATTTCCTTCTCCTTTTTCGGGTTTCGCCCCGTTCCATTCTTCTTACAACAGTTTGCAATCTTGTTTAGGAATATCTTCTTACCAAATATTCTCCATGTTTTACCCTTTGTTGTGCTTAAATTGCCAAATCTATCTGCCTCTGTTTATCACGTTTTCGGCTGCATTTATCGTGATTGCGGACGGATATCGCGGTCATGCAATAATAGTTTTGGACAATACTGCTCAACTATATAACGGACGTTATTGCAATAGCGGATCGTTATTTAAATCTCTGAATTATGCAGAAGATTCGTGCACTCCTCCACCATCCTCACTTCTCAACTCCATCTTTTGCTCCATAATCGTTACATTTATTGGAGGATTTAATGACCAAACTCTTTAACTGAGGAGTTAAGGTGGTTGTTCAAGTCCTGGATTTCAACATCCTTTTGCTTCAAAGTTGCTATAAATGCTATCACCCGAGGATTTCTGTTTCCAGAATCCATTTCTTTATGCCGTAGCAGTTTGATCTCGTTTAGTTTATCCTCCAGTTCAGACTCCATGGTCTTTTTTTTAAGGGAATTTGTAGATTGCATTTCCAAGAACCTATGATCCACCTCCATTTTCTACTTTTTAAGAGAGCTCATCATTAGCTTTATTCTTCAGTTCTTTTGTGTATTCCGTGTGTTCCTGTGATCGAAAACAACAGCACAACAGTGTTAACGTGTACAGCCCTGATACCTCTTAAAGGGCGTTTTGCCATCGCCCCTTGTGTCCATTTCCTTTTTGAGATATTAATCTCATTGCCATCTCATTTTGGTGAAGTTAAAGATGTTTAAATAAAAGGGTATGGAATGGAAGTGAGGTCATGTAGAAGGAAGCATGGCAATTATTCAGGCGCTGATCCTGGAATGTAGACTAAGCATTGTTTTATAATGTTTCAATGTTAACCTTTCTTTTTCTTTTTACCACAATGCCCCTCCATTGTTGTTCAAAGTTCAAACTGCTACACGCAACTTTAATTGCATCACAATAAATAAATTAAGCTATGCGATATCCTCAAATATCCAAGTTTGAGTATTGATCGTTATCCATTTTGGCCCCTTTGTTCATCGAAAAGTGCACTTAAAAAGTTTCCAACCACAAGAACCTCCATACAGTCAATTCAATGACCATGAAGGAAAACCCAGTCAACGCAAATCAACTTAAATTGCTGAAGAAAGTAGTGATAAGTTGCTTACGGTATCTCTAGGCACTTTTATCATGTGGAGAAACACTGAAAATGGGCAACACAACTGATAAAGTTAGCCTGCTAAGCCTTACCATCCACAAACTTTTGCATCCAACTTTAATCTGGTTTCCCAACATTCTTCATCTGTCAATTTATGTGCGTGTAAATATTTAAACATATCAATAAAATGATTAAACGAGCCCGCTGGCCAGCAATTTGTATGGGAAGAAGCAATTTGAGTACATAGTAACTCAGCCCAACATGATCCAAGTCCGCCACCAGCAACTACCATCTTCTGCTATGACCTCCATATCACTATCAGAGAGCTGCCGCCATGGTTCTTCTTGCAGCCTCACGCTTCATCTCATCAGCTTTACCGCTACCTCGGAAATACATGTAAACTTGCTGCAAATTCAAAAGAGAAAACACTGAAGGCTTTAGAAGAAATAAGAGGGGAGCAGTTCCACTGAAAAAGTAATGAAAGAAGATGGGTTTCCGACCTGAATAACCCAGACACTGAGCAATGATTCAATGCAAAAAAATCCAAAACCAATGAAGTAGAATATCTGCAGGTCAAAATGATGCAGGCAATATCAAGCCTTCTCATAGACGTAATGAATAGTAAAAACCCAAAACATCAATTGCAGGCAAAGCATTCTAATGGCTTGAAACTTACCCCAACGAAAGCATGTGTGCTACCAATGAGATCAATTGCAGGCAAAATACCTCTGCACCATGAAGACATCATTGGCTACAGATTACCATCCACTATCTAAAAGAATTAAACAAAAAAAGAAGGAAAAAAAATCGTAACATTCAAAATCCCCGAGGGGGAACAAACTTACGCAAGGGATTTTCCCTTGAAAATAATTGGGGGAGCAACTGAAGCAAAGATGCAAAACCCAATATGCAGCTGCAAGGAAGAAGAGACTAGTTAGAAATGAGGAGATTTCCAATATGTCTTCCACGAATATACAACTACTACAATGAGAAAGAAAGAAGCATACCAAGTAAAACAAAAAGAACCGTCCAAAACTGAACGCACTATCAGTCCTGTGAGATGAAAGGAACATAGTGGCAGAACATAAAATTAAGGATTACAATAAAAGCTTACATTTATTATTATTGAACTTGAGATAGTAGAAATAAGTACTATAATTTCAATAAACAATGATTGGACATTAACAGTTTTTAGGTAAATAAGGAATAACCCATAAGTGGTACCTCATAGCACGATAGAGAGGACGGTACCACAATACATAGCCGCCAGGGACCCCAGATATGAAATATATAATGGCAAGAAACCAAATTGTTGGGCCTGAAATAAGATACAAACTCACACTATGATAAAGATGCAAAAATAGAAATTGATCACTTAATGACAAGGGCAATACTAACTTTCAAAACCTACCTTCTCCTTTGATCCAGGCTGTAGTAACAGCTACTATATTCCAAACAAGACAAAGAACCAAACCTTCCATGTAAAGAAAACATTAGACTTAAATCAGCATTGGCCACAATAACAAATTAGCAACATAACCATTTTTCAAGACAAGCAAATGAACGTTAGGACCAATACAATTCACCTTTAGTAGATGAAAGACTCACAAAAGAAATATAACAATGGATAATAGGAGCAACATATTGAATCTATTTTAGATGGATTGGTATTTCATTTGCAATATCATTATGGATAATAGGAGCAATATTATGATGTAAGAAAGAAACAGAAAAACCTGAACTTGAACTCACCTAAAAATGTTGTGAAAGCAACATATTGCATCTTTTGCAGGTGGATTGGTATTTCATTTGCAATATCATGATGGATAATAGGAAAAAATGGTGGCCAATTTTTCTCCTCTATTACAATTCCAGCTACCAAGAAGAAGGCAGGAACATATGTCAAAATCAAGCTTACCTAGCAATACACAAGTTATCGAGATAAAAGGGGAAAAAAAGAACCTACCCCGTGCTATTGCATCCTCCTTCCTTTTCAATTCCTGCAAAATAAAAAGATAACATTCAGTTACTATGAGCACAATTTGTTCTGGAAGCAGATGAATTGTAAAACCACCCGACAGATAACACAATTACATATTGCATCAGAACATTCAAGGATCAAGTCATTGCATAATTTAGAATTTTCAGAACAAAAAGATATTTTACAAGCATTGAGACAGATAAAACAATTAAACAGAAATTTAGAGTCAAAACTACAGTTTTCTTTTTCTGTGCGCAGATAGCAATAATTAAATTGCATCATAAATGTGTATAATTTGGAACTTCAATGCAAAAGGGATGACTTATAACAAATGATACCAAAAACAATAAATTGGAAGCACCAGATTGATTATTCATTGGCAAGCCTCACCCGAGTGCAAACAGATGAGAACAAATTACCTGTTCCCGCTTATTCAGTTCAGCCTCTTTTGCTTTAAGTTCCTTCTCTCTAGCTCTCAAATCCTAGATTTGACAAGACAAAAATATCAAAAGAAGTCTTTTGCTTAAACATAATATCCAGAAACATGACAATTGGCCATTCAACATATGGAAACTTTTAGGATACCTTGGCAGAATCAAGAGGAATATCTACGGTTGCACCACGGTCATATGGTTCAGGAGGGAGGGGTGAAAGCCTTGATGTTGCAGGAGGAACACTACCAGGGTTCTAAATTTTTTGTATTTTACAAGACTTTAAGCATTTGCACAGGTAACATTAATTTATGCATTCACAATCACAACAAGTATAACAGCAAATATAAGACAAGAAAGTAAACCAGTCGCATAGTCAATGAGCACTCTTGCAAAATGAGGTTCAAAGCAAGGTTTAAGCTAATGAGGAAATGAGTCCCATACAAATATTGGACAAATGATGATGCACAAAACTGCACCTAGAACCAGGTTTCAACATGCCATATTCTGAAATATCATGATACTCATGACTTTCAAACCACATCTTCTGTCTCAGGGAGAAAGCATATGTTGAAATATCATGATACTCATGACTTTCAAACCACATCTTCTGTCTCAGGGAGAAAGCATATGTTCATCCCTATATTATACCTCTCCTTGTGTTTTGCTTTCATTCTTGGCCTGCATAATGTGGTCTTTCTTGTAGCACCTATTTTTGGATCTACCTGATATAAATTCTAAGAAAACGCTGCTTAAGAATAGGGAAAGAAAAGAATTTATTCAAACCCAACAACATAAAACACAGTTTCTAGGAAGAGTTATGAATTCAAACATTGTTAGCATCTTTGTCGTAATGATAACCAAACAAACCATTGCAACAACCAGAAAACTATAATCGAGTCTCACAACCCTTAATTGGTTAGAATAAAGTCAAAGTGTGATTAACATGTGAAAATGGATCAATTTTCACTAGTCACTGCAACCAACCTATGCATTACTAGTGCATACAGAATAGGTCAGTATGTCAACTATTTTCTGCCAACCGCCACTTTTTCCTATTCCCAGCAACTGAAACTATCAAACATTATGCAGGTAGAGGTAACCACACAATTGTAGGAAAAATAGTCCTTACAGTAGTATAAAAGGCACCTCCACCAAAATTTGATTGCCCGGCTCCTTTCCTAACTGTTGGATTCTGCGATAAATAAAAAGGAAACATACAGATCATTCTAAGAAAAAACAATAATTAAGAGCTTAAAAAAATCATCATGCACAAGTTAAAACTTAAACCACTAATATTACCACTGAAATGTTCTGTGTGTTCAAGCTTAAGAAAAACAAGAAAAATGAATTCACATCATCACATGTTTTAGTTTTACGTATCAAAAACAAAGTTTATTATTAGAATAATGGCATTACTACAGTCTAACTTCGGTGTCTGTCACTTCGTAGCTTTACATTCACAAAAACGAAGAGAGAGAGAAAAATACCCGAACACAGTTACTATAGCTACATTATGAAAAACCACAAACCTTACTTAAATGAATTAATTCTAACATGAAAAAAAATCCATTCGGCAGTAGAAATGAAACAGATCTACCAATTTAGCTAATCAGTCATCCAAGTCCACAAAACCTACAGATCAAATCTCATATGGAGAAAACTGAAAATATGCAAATCTACGTCCACAAAACCTACAGATCAAATCTCATATGGAGAAAATTGAAAAATGTGCAAATCTACAATCGGAGGCATTGACATGTCATGAAAAAAAAAGTGGAATACAAAACGTGCATAAGAAACTTACCGAAAAAGGATTGACCTCTTCCTCCTCGAAAGGGTTGGAATCGAAGTGACTCATCGAACCTCAAGAATGGAACTACTAACACTAACACAATGAGATATAGATCTGAATTTGAGACGCTGAGAATAAAAGAAAGTATTTGGCGATAAAGACGGTTAAAAAGATAGATTTCAAGGAAAACTGAGAAGAAGTGTAACGAAAGCAAAAGGATTAAGTAAAGTCGCAACGCTAACGGGCTTCAATCAACTTTTAGGGGGGGGGGCGCGTTTGGATGGGAATGTTACATTTTCGTGAAAATGAAATTCATATTACCTATTTGGTTAGTTAAGAATCTGTAATGTAAGATTATTAATAATGGATTTTTTTAAGTATATTATCGAAAATGTCATTATTTTTTTCTTTTGGTATTGTTAGATTACCAGTATTTTAGATTAAAATACTCTTAATTTTTTTTTAAAAATATCATTTTTCTGTCATTGAATAATAAAAATTCTACGAATATTAAATTATAAATTCATCCTTAAACTATTTTAGATTTAAAAAAAATGTCTATAATTAAAATTTTATATGAAGTTTAGGGGTTAAAATAAAATTTTACCCTTTCATTAAATATTTTTTATTTTGTAAAAAAAATTATATAAATTTCATGAATTTTATTTTTTAAAGAAAATATATAAATATTTTTCAATTTGTTAAAAAATAAATATATAATAAGGGTAATTTGGTCAAATATATATTGCAATAATCTTTTATTCCTTTAACCAAACACGATAATCTTACATTCCTGCTAAACCAACCAAACACAAAATACAACAAATCCTATTCTCTGGTTATCTTACATTCCCACTGATAATCTTACATTCCGTGAACCAAACGCAATCTAGTTTATGCCCAATTTTCGGCCAATTCCGCTTTGTTTTTAGTTGTTAAGACTATCGCTCAAAAGAAGAAGAAAAATGTTGTTAAGACTATTCTTTGAATTTTGGGTAATGTACACAAATAATTTTTTGACTATAATATATTATTTTGTTGAGTCTCTCGATTATAAAAAATTATTTTATTAAATCATTCAACTATTAAAAGTTATAAAATATTCACCGGTTATTTATTACTTTTCAAACTCGTCTCTTTTTGTAATAAAAATGACATGAGTTGAACTTTAATATGATGAATGAGATATGATAAAATATGATCTCATCATATCAAACGATTATCACATCTAAATCAATATGTTAACGTCCATCTTATATGACTATTTTATAACTTTTAATAGTCGAGAGACTCAATAAAGAAACTCCCTATAATTAGAGATCATTTTGTAACTTATAATAATCAAGTAACTCATAAAGTAATATCCTATAGTTAGAGGACCATTTGTGTGCTTTACCCCTAATAATAATAATAATGGAAAAAGTAAAGGAGAATAACCACGGGAGAACGAAGCTTAGGGAACAATTCGTACAAGCCCAATAACAAATGAAATCCAAGTGTAAAAGGAGCCCAAATCTATTATCTGAAAGGTGAAAAAACTGACAAATCACCGGCGCAAGCGCAGCCACAGCCGCCCACGCCCACCCTCCTCATCTCTTTCCAGTTGTTTTTAAATCCACAGACAACAGCAGAAAGGAGAAGTTGTAAATAAAACTAGAGCAGGAGAAAATGTTGCGATCTCGCTCTACATCGGTAGTTCGCACCCTATCATTCGCCACCAAGCTAAGACCCTTCTCATCATCAGTCGATTCACCTACAACCAATCCCGAGTCTCCGTCCACTCTCGCTGGTCTCCGGGCCCGCCTCGCCACTGAATCTCTCACTCTCTCCGATTTCATCGGTCTCCAAAGCAATAACATCTATTCTGTTGAAGTCGGGACCAAGAAAAAACCGCTCCCTAAGCCCAAATGGATGAGGGAATCCATTCCTGGCGGCGAAAAATACGTTCAGATTAAAACCAAATTAAGGGAATTAAAGCTCCACACTGTCTGCGAAGAGGCTCGATGCCCCAATCTCGGCGAGTGCTGGTCCGGTGGCGAGACTGGGACCGCCACTGCCACCATAATGATATTGGGTGATACTTGTACGCGTGGTTGTAGGTAATTTTTGTTTAATTATAAAAAAAAAGTGGGATATGCATATGTATGAAACTAGTAAGTTCGAATTTCACTGTTTTCGCTTTTCCAGGTTTTGCAACGTGAAGACATCGCGAACGCCGCCTCCGCCAGATCCCAATGAACCGAGGAATGTTGCGGAGGCAATTGCATCGTGGGGTTTGGATTACGTGGTGATTACGAGCGTGGACCGGGATGATTTGGCTGATCAAGGAAGTGGGCATTTTGCGGAAACGGTTGAGAAGTTGAAAACTTTGAAGCCTAAAATGCTTATAGAAGCCTTGGGTACCAATTATCTTCTAAACTTTTCTTAATTCGTTAACGTATTGGCATGCCCTTTGATATCCAAGGCAGAAACTTTGCTCCTTTTGTATACATATAATAATTGGTCTTAGAGAAGTAAAATCGTTATCAGATTTGACATTTACAGTTGATAGGGATTTATTTCAGGCAATTATGATAGTTTACATAAACAAAATTGTAATGTGGGGCAGTTCTTGCTTATTTGCATCTTTAGAATTTCTCATCCAATCTGAGTTATAACATTTTAGCTGATATTGCCTGCACTATCTTTCATTGTTTAGTTCCTGATTTCCGGGGAGATGCCGGCTGTGTAGAGAAAGTTGCAAAATCTGGGTTGGATGTCTTTGCTCATAATATTGAGACTGTTGAAGAACTTCAAAGGGATGTACGTGATCACCGTGCTAATTTTAAGCAATCTTTGGATGTTCTAATGATGGCGAAAGAGTATGCTCCTGCTGGAACACTTACCAAGACTTCAATAATGTTAGGATGTGGAGAAACGCCTGATCAAGTTGTGAAAACAATGGAGAAGGTTAGAGCAGCAGGTGTTGATGTGATGACATTCGGTCAGTATATGAGACCATCAAAGCGCCACATGCCCGTGTCAGAGTACATTACACCTGAAGCCTTTGAGAAATATAGAGCCCTTGGCATGGAAATGGTATGCAGTAATGTTTTATTCTAATACTTGCAGTTTTCTTCATTAAGTGCACCCATATCTTTGCTTATATTGATTGAGTGACTAACAAATTTATCTTATCTAGCTTCTTCTGATAAACTTTTTTAGTCTGTCTATGGCTTAGTTGATTGCAATAGCTTGTTGAAAAATGATCTCTTCCTTAAGCAGATCTTGTTTCTTTTACCCATGGTTCTTAAGTGCTTTTAGAGAAAGGGATGTAAAACTTAGAAAAGAAAATGATAGAATAGATGCCTATATAATTGTCAATACTAGCCTTGCAAACTAAATTCATCTCATCTTTTTGCTTTCCCCTTTTAAAACACCTTAACCATTCATTATTCTAGCTGACAGTTAATGAGTTCTAATAATTGGTATTACTTGTACTCATATCCATTCAAGTCTGATGTAGAGCTTTCTGAAAATAGTTTAAAAGTGTTCTCTACTTGTTAGTTGGGACATAGGAAAATAAAAAAGCACAGTGAGCATTAGTTGGTACTCATATCCTAATTTCTATGTTCGCCCCAGGCCACTAAAGTCTCAGAAACGGGCCTGATTTCAGTCTAAAGTGATCGCACATATTTTAGTCATTTGCCTGTATTCAAGTTAAATTTTTGCTTCCTTCTATATGTTTGTTCAAGATAGTCGTGTAAGCTAGATGGTTGATGTCTTGCTATTCCTTGATTTAAGAAACCAAATAATGCAGTAAGAAAAGCAACCCATTGTTTGCTATTATTGGTAATGTAATGAGAAAAATAAAGAGATAAAAATTTAACTAGTATTGTAGTATGTCTAAAACACGGTACTGATATATATATCCCTCTTTTTTTTTTTTGGGGGGGGGGGGGTGGTGTGGTGGGGGGTTGCAAGTTGAAATTTCTTATCCAATAGAAACAGCAAGGCCGCTACATGAAAACAACATTACTAAGATTTAAACATGCCAAACTTTAGCTCCCTGGCATTAAACAGAGCTAAATTTACATAGTCAACTACAACTTTTCTATGACACCATAATCTGATGGCTTTACCTTTTAGATTACTAGCAGCACAGTGTAGTTCATTTTCCTAGGTTGCAGTTTCTCCAAAGAGCTATGGCAGCAAATACGAGAGCTATCCACATCAAATGGAAAAGTCACTGTTTGGTTTGCTTTTCTGCAGTTCAGTTTATACATCATATTCTTTTAGATTCCCAAGTTTCTTTTCTTAAGTAAATAAATATATTTATAAATTAATCCTAAACCAATTACTTTGTAGGATATTATGATATATATCATGTACACAAACCTGATGTAATGTTAATTTATGACTTTGATAACTTGTTATTGCGTAGGTGTTGCTTTTTGGTCAGAATATTGAAATTAGTCACCGAAGATGTAATAGTACGTACTAAAAAAGTGTGAATGTGCAGGGATTTCGATATGTGGCATCTGGTCCCATGGTCAGGTCATCTTACAAGGCAGGGGAATTCTACATCAAATCTATGATAGAATCTGATCGTGCTGCTGCTTCATAACTCCTTTTCTCTTCATACCTATGTTATTCTTTTTCTGTGGCCATCATTATCTTGATTCGGCTAATAAATCGGTAGGGGGCTGGCAGTCGATGATTGGGTACTCCAATTGTTGCAGTATGTGGCACCAGTTCTGATTGAAATTTGTTTTGTAATTGTTCTTGTTGTAATTATATATATACATTATGGCATGGATTTTAGCACCAATGTTTTATCTGGAGGGGGATCAACCAACCTGTTTGCTTTTTTGCCACCATACAATTTTTCACTTTACATTGGGCTATTAGAAGGTGTTAGAATTTGTGAATTGTGGTCAGGCTCAAGCTCCTTGGACATTTTTGTATTATAGAAGAATGATATTTAGGCTTTCGCGAATAAAGTCCCAACTGCTCGCTGAGCAAGCATTTGGGACTTCACATCTCTGTGCATTTTTAGGCCATTAGTTTGCAGTCAATGGACTTGGGTTGTGTAATGTCTTATCTACACAGAAGGGTCGGGGTGCATTACTAGGCGTAAACAGAATTTGACTCAACAAATTGATTGATTGATTGATTGATTTATTTATTCTAGTCAACTTGAATTATTGAGTTAGTTTTTTAGTTTAATTTGAGTTGAAATTTAAAAAGTTTAAGTCACTTAAAAAATTAAAAATTTGGCGGAGCATGTTTGCGATTTATTGATTTTCTTATTCTTTCAATCTTTCTTTCATTTTAAGTCAATTTTTTACCAAATTAGAATCATATACTCCTAAACTATTTGAGAATACTTATGTATTTTCTATTTTTTTTAATAATATTTTCTATTCTTTTTTTAAATTAGTTTCTCAATTTTATATGAATTGTTTGTTTCATCCTTAATTGTAAGTATGTTTCGGACTAATTTTGAATTACATGCTCTCCTACTGCTATAGAATATTTATATAACTCAATTCTTATTTTTCACTAATGTACTCTATTTTTTTAATTTAGTTTATTATCTTTGTATTTTACTCAATTTGGTCTTTCTAATACAATTGTTTGCAAATTCTTTTTTCATGTCAATTCCTTAACTCTTCTATACGCTCATCATTATTTTACTCTCAAAATATTTTTTTGAAATATAATATTATAAATGTATTTTATAATTTTAGATTGTATCTAATATATTAAATAACATTATAATATGAAAAGAATATGAAGAAATATGTGTGTGTATTATTTGGTTAGATAATGTTGAAAATTTGAAATCAATCTGTACTAAAGTACTATAAATAATTACAATTAAATTTGTATAGAAACTCGAACAACTCGATTTGACTCGAATTTCATAAGCTCAGCCCGACTCGAAAGAATTTCAAATTAAATTTGAGTCATAAAATATAACTCATCAACATCTTGTAATAAAATATGACTCGTCAACACCTAATTCGAAATTTTTTTACTTGATCGAATACTCACCCCTATGCATTATTGTTGTGTTCTTTAGTGTTGGTTTTAATAAAATTTTAGTGGCCATAATAAAATTTTGATGGAACAGTATTCCACATTTTAAGTTTGTAGTTAAGATGATTGACTTAACATGTTTGTCTTCAGATTTGCAAAATTCCATTTCTCAATTCTACCTTGACGCTAAAAAAAAGCAGCAAATTGACAATTTCAGTTTTCCTGGAATGCAATTGTACAAATATCAGAAACCCTGATGCTTTATTATCATGACATGCTTCTTTGTTCAGCATCAGCTTAAGCTTGAAGACCCACCAACGCTTTGATTGAGTTGATGCAGAGGCTTCAAGGTGTGGTCTGGTGGACACGGCACCGGAGCAGGATGTGCAATGAAAGTAGGAGCTTCTTCACCAGGCATTAAAACCGATATCTCACTCGCATAAACTGTCATCTGCATTCAATTGTAAAGAGGTTTGAGAATCAAAAGCAGCGAAGCTACATTCAAGAGACTTGATACCAAAGCTTCAGTTGACACCAGTTCTTAGTTTGATGCATTATAAAAATATTTCAAGAAAGTAGACGAAGTCTCGGTTATTGTTTCAAGGTTTTTTATTACTATATTATATTGCTCTTCCATTAACCAAGGCAGTTGAAAACCTCAGAAGAGACAAAAGGATGAGTTTTGGAATTCTTGGGATACAAGCATAGCATATAAAATAATGGACCCAACACCATTCCCCACTAATAAAATAAAACCATTGTCTGCCAAAATATTCCTCCTTTTTCCCCAAATCAAGGGGTTCTAACAACTGATAGACTAGACAAGTTGCACGCAAAGGTAAGATGATATATTATTAAACTAAACAAATCAAAACTAGTTGGTATAGCAAGGTTAAGAGTTAAATCATGATATTCTGAATCAGGTTGGGAGTGTCACTCCCATAAATGAGTCTTTGTAATATTCGAATTAAATTAGTGGATTGATAGATCAAATACTGATAATTAAACTAAAGAAGAAATGAAAAAGGGACAGATGAAGGCGTGCCATGCTTTGATCATACAAAATGGTAACACATCAGGTGATGATGATGTTGGCCAATAGTTTTAGCCAAAAAAAGAACTTGCATCCACCCAACAATTCAGCATGGAAGGCTTCACCCTCTTGTGCATGCAAAACGACAGTATATGAGGATGGAAGATTTTCGAGGGGATATTTATTCATTTTGACCCTCTATTTGCAGAGTTGATTGGATGGGAAGCTCACAAAGTCAAAATGATTTGATGAAGATATAAAACAAAAGTTAGGCAACACTTCAATTCTGCCGGTCGTCAAGTGTGACATTTGAGACAAAAATCACATGCTGCTGATGGATGATGCTCCCCTTAGCCCTAATCAACCCACATACACATCATATATAGATCATGCTTATCTATGTATCTATGTTATAAAAAAAACATAGCAATTATTACTGGTTGTCCTTCATTTTAAGGAAAAACTATTGTTTAACAGATAAACATCTGAAACTGAAGTTGAATAATGCATACCACAATGGGAATTGAGAATTCCAAGCCATATCCACCATTTATCCTTGATGGAGATAATGGGATTAATATTTAATTGGTATGCTTTGTCCAAAAATTAAGCCACAATCCTCAGTCTATTAATTAAGCTAAATCACTCAATTTCTTTTTACATCTTCCATGTTTGTTATACGGTTCATGCTCAGGTTGTTCTAGGTTTTCTCGTTAGGCCTGTGATTTACTTATTATTGCACCCAACACTTGCTGTTACTAATTACTCGAACTTGATGAAAACAAAAGGGCCATGGTTTTGTGAGTGAGAAAAAGGAGGCAAGATGGGTATAGTGAAATGGTGAAGTCCGTAAATTGGGTGGTGTATATACATGTAGAAGATGGGTCCTTGCTACCAACCTTTTTCTACAAGGAAAACAGTCCTCAAACAAAGGCCAAAAAGAAAAATGTCCACAGTGAAATTAATATACTATGAACTAGAGATATCAAGAAATGTTCAAAAGATAAAATAGGGAGATAAATAAAGAAGAGCAGTGGTTTATGAGAAATAATTTAGAGTGATTGCAAGGAAGTATTTATTCAAAATCTTAGTCACGACTTACACTTACCTACCTACAAAACGAAACTGCTCGAATGTCTTCTAAGAAAAATAACTTTCACTTTTATCACTAAGGTCAGGTTCTGAAGAAAATATACAAAAACAAATTATAAAGGGGGTTTGAGAGAGAGCTTACTTTGGGGGAAGGATAATTAAGTTTGGCATTGAACATGGTCTGAGACTCAAGATCATTAGGGGAGGATGGTGGCCTGAGAAACCTCTCAAAGATAGCCATGAAGAGGAACATTGATATGAGAACCGCAGTGGCCACAAAACCAAACGAAACCGCATTCACCGAGTTGTCGAAGCGTCTCCAGTGCTCTTCCCTCCCTAAATTCAATGGAGCCACCGTGGGTGGCACCGTTTCCCAGTGATATTCACCACCCATTAAGAAAACCTATCAAGCAGAGCCACCAGCGCAGAATCAAGCACAACACATGTGAACATCAGGACAGATTAATAGAGAGAGAACCATCCCATTCCCATGTATGTATGTTGTTCATACTAGTTGGTATTCTCCATTACGACATGCTTCAACAAAACACCACTTGAAGTAGATTGACGCCTTTTGCTTTATAGAATATGCACCAACACTTGTGCTTCTAAAAGAAATGATGTTTGCCCTTCAAGCCAGGTTCAAGGTTCAAAGTTGAAGGATAGAGATTATGGCTGGTTGAAAAGGAGAGCTTTTTGGGCTTTAGCTTGTCTGAAAATAAAGCTTTTATTCTTTTCTACTCTCCTCTCACAATAGAAATGAGAGTACACTATACATACATTCTGTACCTAAATTATTATTTTTATTCTATTTTCGTACTTACATTTTATCTTTTTTAAAATTATAATTAACGTTTAATTTAAGTTTTAATTTGATACATCATCATTAAAAAATTAATAGAATTATTGATGTGATATTGTTTTTATTTTTTTCAATGATGATGTAGTATTATCTTATGGTGATATGTCAACATTACCGTTAAAATTTTAACAACGGGTACCAAATTGAAACCTAAATTAAATGTTAAATACGATTTTGAAAAAAAATAAAGTTTAAATATCAAAACAGAATAAAAGTAATAGTTTATATATTAAATATGTAATTTACCCAAAAAATTAACTAAGTAGAACACATGATTTTTTAACGTGACTTACAGAATTTTTAAAAAAATGTCTGAATATTAAATAGCAATTTTTTAAAATTTTATTAAAAAAATGATACCAAAGGAGTAATAAGAAGTATGAAATTTGATTTTACCTTATGCTTTTAATATTTACTGAATTAAGTAGTTGTCTCTTGTGATTATGCACAAATTATTTTGAATTTAGATTATTTAATGGATGATTTTGACATGAATTAAGCAATCTCAATGGTTAAGAGATTTATTATTTATCTTTGAGGTTTTAAATTCGAGTACCACATATGTAAAAATATAAACGTTCATTATCAAATAATTTTGAATCTTTGAATAAATACTACATTGTATTTGTCCCATATTCATTAAAAAAATAATGATTTTGGTTATAACCAATGTTATTAAAACCGGACCGGACCAGCCGGTTCGACCGGTTGAACCGTAAACCGATGGCCTGTCCGGTCCGGTTAACTCCCAAAACCGGATTAGCATAGAACCGGTAAAGAACCGGAAGAATCGACTGAAAATCGGGAAAACCGGGATGAACCGACTGAAAACCGGTTTGAACCGCCGATTCACTTTTTTTCTTTAAAAAAAATTAAACCAAACGACTACGTTTGTTCAACGAGCCGAGTCAAATTCGAGTATTGCTGAGCTCGACTTGAACTCGAAAACTTTAAAAGTAAGCTCAACTCGACTCAAAAACTCACGAGCTAAAAATTATCAACTCGAAATATAATATTAAAACTTGAAATCGAAAAGGCTCAAACTCAAAAAAAAATTAGAAGTTCGATTGAAGCCTAACATTTGAGCTCAATTGAAGAAAAAGAATAGTTCGCTTTGTGCTTACCAAAATGTTCCATGATTTTGAATGTCAAATTACCTCTATTATTTATAGAAGTAAGTTGGGATGCTCTTCTATGTTTCTTAGCTATGTGGGATTGTTTTGTTCTCATATTTTTACTCTTTAAACTTTTGGGATACTCTTCTATGTTTCTTAACCATGTGAGATTGTTTTTTTAAAAATAATTAAACCAAATGACATCATTTGTTATTTATAGAAGTAAGTTGGGATGCTCTTCTATGTTTTTTAACCATGTGAGATTGTTTTGTTCTCATATTTTTACTCTTTAAACTTTTGGGATACTCTTCTATGTTTCTTAGCCATCTGGGATTGTTTTTTTAAAAATAATTAAACCAAATGACATCATTTGTTATTTATAGAAGTAAGTTGGGATGCTCTTCTATGTTTTTTAACCATGTGAGATTGTTTTGTTCTCATATTTTTACTCTTTAAACTTTTGGGATACTCTTCTATGTTTCTTAGCCATCTGGGATTGTTTTTTTAAAACAATTAAACCAAATGACATCATTTGTTATGATTTTTTTAAACCCCAATTTTATTTTTTTGATTATAGTTATATAATTATATTTATTATTTAATATGTTTTACCTTAAATATTATGTTGTAGTTGATTTGAATCACTTGATTTTATGGTTTTTCATTTATACATGTTATGACTTGTGATATTTTTATACCTTTTAATATTGTAAACTTAAAAAAGTGTTACATATATATTAATATTGCTTTGAATATTATGTAAAATTAAAAAAAAATATTATTTTATATAAAATCCGGTTCAACCGCGATTGAACCAGTGAACCAGTACCTTCACCGGTTCAATGTCCGGTCCGATTTTGAAAACATTGGTTATAACTATGTGGAAAATATAGTATATTTCAAAAATAAAAAACAAATGTCGTCGTTTTTGAAAGGACCACAATCGCTGTATGAAAATGCAGTTGGGCCGTTGTTATTTTAACCCAAATCAGCACAAACCCATCTTTAGATATATTGTTTTCACTTCCATTTTTGACAAATTAACATTTTAAATAAACCAAAATTTATTACACACTGAACATACCAAAATGAAAGAAAGTATTTTATATAAAATATGTTAGTGTAATTATGTTGGACAATGCTCGGGTAAGTGAGGTGAACCACCGGAAACAAGAAACATAAAATAATTTACTTATTCAGTTTAAATCAATCAATGATTTTATCTTCGTGAAGCTTTTTCAAAAGATCAATTCGCTATAATATTTTCTATACAAGAGATATATTACTTAATTCAACATATTAGTTGTAGGTGCTCTCTCATATAATTGTTGGTCTCGAATATTTAAATCAGAGAAAAATAAAAAAAAATAGTTTATAATTTTTTTCCTTTAAATTTGGGTCATTCATAATATCTAATACAATAAGTTATAAATGAATTAAATACATGTATAATTTTTATGTGATGTCACAAAGAAATTCAATATTGGTCTCGAAGATTTTAATTATTTGATAAGGTTTTTAATTTTATATTCCAAATCTCTAAAATAATTACCCAATAATTAAAATAGATCTAAATTAATTTTAATATATGATTAAAACAAGTTAATTATGATAGAGTGGAAAATTGGAAGGATGAAAAGCTAAAAGTATAGAAAATTAGAAAAATGAAAATTTTCTTTGTTGGTTTTCATGGTAGGAAATATGAAAAAAATTATATTTTTTCTTCATTTATCGCTTATTAGAGTTAAAAACTGAGAGGAAGAAAATTAAGATTTAAAAAATAAATATTTTGAACAAGTTGGACTTTGTTTTTATACACGAGGATGAAGATTATCACCCCCTCTAATTTTCTTTCCTGCCAAACACACTTAAAATTTCTTCTCTTTTCATTTTTTTCACTCCCTCCTTTCATTTTTTCACCCAACCAACCAAACAGATTATGATGCTTCCCAAACGTATTAGATGAACCTTTTATAAATAAAATATATTTGTGTTAGTTTTATATGGTATTAGATGAACATTTTGTTTTAAAATCACACAACTTATAATAATTATGGAGCCATTGAGATTATGATTCTTTCACAAACGTATTTAATTAATATTTCTATACGTGAAAAAAGTTCAATTAAAATATGTAAACACTAAAATTTCTCCGACCCGCTCATTAGAAGGCCCAAACGCAAGGTCCGCATCCATTGCAACATGATATTTATTAATATGTGATAAAGTATAAGACAATATCTATTCATTACATATATATATATATATATATATATGATATTTAAAACCTCTAAAAACGCGTCATTTTGGGAGGCATGTTTAGGCACAAAAGGGCATCATTTTGGAGTGCTTGACTCATGATCTATGCATCTAACCCGATCAACATCTTACGATCCATACCATTTAATATTTTGAAAAGTTATATTTTTAATCTATTCACCTTGTATATGTTGTGATTTTATCCTAAATTTACATGAATTGATATTAATTTTGCTTTTAAATTCATGTTCATGTTTCAAGTTAGTCATACATACATACATACATACATACATACATACATACATACATACATACATACATGCATACATGCATACATGCATACATGCATACATGCATACATGCATACATGCATACATGCATACATGCATACATGCATACATGCATACATGCATACATCCATACATCCATACATGCATACATGCATACATGCATGCATACATGCATATGGATAGGATCTTGTTACATAATGTAAAACTCTTTTAATTTTACATATATTTAGGACAGTTAGATGAGTGAAAATATATGACTAAGGATGGCAGTAGGAAATTAAAATATATTCACTGAAAAAAATACAAAAAATCAATCTTAATCTTCTATTTTTACTCATCTAATGATCATAAATTTATGTGCATTGTGTGAGTGGATCCTAACTCATATATATATATATAATAGATTAATTGACTCTCGAATTCAACTATAATTATTGTTTATACCAACTAAAATAACCGATGATAATTCCAACTACGTAATAAACTCTTTAAAGATCCAACTTATTTGAACCACCATAAAACGACTCCGACAAAACCACTGTGTAATGAACATGGCAGCACGGTGTGAGGTTTGGTATCCAGTATTAAATTGAGTGCGCATCCTAATCTCCCAACTGTTTGGTATGAACAATGATCATCCACTTATAGAAGGTGGAGCGGCCTAACCACCACTTGATGAATCATTAGTTACAGCAGCAAATTTATATGCTTTCCTTTCTACGTACTGTCGTATTCAGACATGTTTTTTTTTATATAATTGAAAAATGTAAATGACCCAACTTGATTTTCATTTTAATTGTCCAAATGAAAAGCAGATTCTTCCTTTGCATGTGTAACTCATAAAAAGCAAATTAACACGTGTTTATTTACAGCTGGCCTTCATAACTACTGTCTTTTCTGTGTAGCGGCTAAGCTTGTCTGTACTTTTTTGTCTTTGCCTATTTCCTTTTATTCCAATGTAAAACATATCCTTCCTATCAAACGTTCCTTAATAAATATATGTAAAAAAAAACTGTAACTTGTCAATTAGATATTGTTA